AAACTGTTTAAAACGTGCATTCCCCCATTCAATTTCGAGTATCCAGTAATATAACCTCACATGTCTTGTGGAGCGCTTTCAGAGTATGCATTTATTTGTCATTTTAACTGTTTGGAAACAGAGCGTAAATCTGAAATATATGAGCTACACAACAAGGCTGAGAGCAAAACACTACATCCATCACACTCGCTGTCCCTTTCCCATTCTCCTTTCCATTTTCTTGCTTTAGATCAATATAACTTTAAGGTTCCATTTGTCATTAGAAATAACAATGAAAAATACTTAAGCATTTATTAATCTTAGTTAAATTAACATTTACTAATACATTATTAAAATCAGCAGTATCTGTATCTGTTAATATTATATAATGGACCCGAGCTGACGTGAACAAACAATGAACAGTTGTATTTGAATTAAATTAAGCTTTAGCGTTAGTTCTGGCAGGTCACGTGAGTCAAGCTTGCATCAGCTGATTCTCAGCTGATCACATCTACCTAGAGGAATACGACACCTATCGCAGCATTCCTATATAAGCTGTATTCAGTATTATTCAGCAGCTTTTTAGCTTGCTTCGGAGCAAATTACCCTCCTCCATCCCCAGCTCCACCTTTCGCCACAGTCAGGACTTAGCTTTCTGATATTCCTTGCTAATCAGACTCCTTTATACACACACACACACACACACACACACACACACAGTTAATCAGTCTCACAGGGACAAACTGAAATATATGAGCTACACAACAAGGCTGAGAGCAAAACACTACATCCATCACACTCGCTGTCCCTTTCCCATTCTCCTTTCCATTTTCTTGCTTTAGATCAATATAACTTTAAGGTTCCATTTGTCATTAGAAATAACAATGAAAAATACTTAAGCATTTATTAATCTTAGTTAAATTAACATTTACTAATACATTATTAAAATCAGCAGTATCTGTATCTGTTAATATTATATAATGGACCCGAGCTGATGTGAACAAACAATGAACAGTTGTATTTGAATTAACTAACGTTAAAGGAGTAGTTCACCCGAAAATGAAAATTTGCTTAAAATGTCCTCACCTTCAGGTTATCCTGGCCGGAGGGTGAGCACATTTTTATTTTTGAATTAAATTTTCCTTTAACAAAGATTAATAAATACTGTGACAAATGTATTGCTCATTGTTATTTCGTGTTAGTTTATGCATTAACTAACTAATGCAACCTTATTGTAAAGTGTTACCAATTTTTTTATTCTTAGACAAGATCTGTTTGACATAAGGTTGTATAAAAATCCCACACAGAGAGAGAGAGAGAGAGAGAGAGCTGCTAAAGCAGCTAATCAATAACCCCATGAGCTACTGTTGGTTGCTTCACCCAGAAGCGTCATACATCAAGCTAAAGGCCTTTACAAGCTCTCTGACGCATTCAAGTCTGCGTGTGGAAACAGAAACAGAGCAAACGGCAGGAAATTACCACAGACGCCACATCTGAGGCCTGCCAGAGAAACACGACTGATTTACATGAGCGCAGAAATCAGTCAGCGCTCTGTGTGTGTTTCTGAAATATCAGTCAAAACACACACACACACCTTAACCAAACACACCACATCAATAAAACACAAGCTCTCAGCATTAACACAAGATCTACAATAAATCATCATCAAAATCTCCTGACTTGTTTGGCTAAAAATACTAGTTCACCCTAAAATTTGATAATTTAGCCATTCACTTGCCAATACAAAACATGTAAGAACGTCTTTCTTCAGTGGAGCACAAAAGAAGATGATTTGAAGAATGCTCACGTTGCTCTTTTGAATACAATAACAGTGAATTAGGAGGGATGCTGTTGAGGTCCAAAAACAGGAGAGAGACACCATAAAAATATCATAACAACAGTCCAGAAGACTTGTGCACTACGTTAAAGTTATATGACGGCTTACGCACTAATATATGGACTATTTTATTTTATATTTTTTGTTTGTCTTTCTGGAGCTTAATAGCCTTGCATATGCTTTAATTATATGGAAAAGAGGATATTCTGAATATTCCTCAAAACATCTATACATAAACTACTGTTTAAAATTCTGGGGTCGGTTCATTAAGACTTTTATGCTCACCAAGGCTGCATTTATTTGATTAAAAAAAGTGAAATATTTTTAGAATTTAAAACAGCTGTTTTCTATGTAAATATGTTGTAAAATGTAATTTATTTCTGTGATGCGCAGCTGAATTTTCAGCATCATTACTCCAGTGTCTCCTTCAGAAATCATTCTAATATGCTGATTTGCTGCTCAAGAAACATTTCTGATTATCATCAATGTCGTGCTGCACAATATTTTTGTGGAAACCGTGATATATTTTATTTTTCTGGATTCTCAGATGAATAGAAAGTTCAAAAGAACAGCATTTATCTGAAATAGAAATCTTTTGTAACATTATAAATGTCTTTACTGTCACTTTTTAACAAAAATGCATCTTTGTTGAATTAAAGCAGTAATTTATTTTTAAGAAAACAAATCATACGGACCCCAAACTTTGATGTCCGCTCATTTGGAGTGAGTAAATAATGACAGGATGTTCATTTTTAACTGTTATTAAGTCGCTGTTTTAATGAGATGTGGTGATTCCCGCCGGAGGAATGTGTTTCTGGATTCTGGTGTTACATTAAAGGCAGATGACAGATGAATAATTCCTTTCATGTTTCTTGCTGAAGCAAACGGTGACATTACGGCTCTATTAATACATGATGTTTGATCTACTCGAGGGCCCCGAGTCTTCTTGAGAGGCTCTCAGGTGAGAGACAGACGAAATCAGCAGGACAGACGGAAGAACAAGTGATTGTGAATGAAGGGTAGAGACACTGATGAGTGGACCGGTGACGAGCCCTCGGCCTCAGAGAGGAGACGAGCACTCGCTGAGCTTAATTGCAGCCTCCCGGCGAGACACACACACACACACACACACACACACACTCTTACACAGCAATAGCTGTAGAAAGGGCTTGAGTGATGAAGAAAACACAATAGCAGCGATCTGACGGCTCTGCATTAGACAGAAGCGCCCGCAGGCGACCGACCCATCACTATAACACGGCTGCATGAAATATATGAACAATATATCTTGATATATTTGAGCCTTCTGACAGACTTCAATATACAGCAGGGTTCAAAAGTCTGAGAGCACATTTAAAATATAGCAAAAATAAAACAGAAGCAATTTCCAGCGTTATTTTAGTATCATTGATATACTACTACAGTTTTTGTTAATATGTTGATTTTATTTTTGTATTTTGTATGTTTTCACTTTAATTTTAGTTAAAGTTTTAGTAATTTTGCTGTTTTGCCATTTTTATTTGTAATTATTGTTAATATTATATTCTTTTTATGTACGCCTATATAGTTTTTATTATTTTTTCATTTATTAGTTTGTTATTTCAAGTTAAAGGAAAATGAGAAATGTTGATATAAGTATTATATATTTTATTTACAAATATTTTATATTTATAATATTATTTTATAATTTATAAATATTTTATATTATATATTTTCTTTCAGTTAACATTTATTTTATTTTTTATTGTATTATTTTTATATAGTTTTAATTTTAAAAAGCCAGAAAGAAAGAGAGATTGAGAGAGAGCGAGAGAAACAAGTTATTTAAAGTAACAAATTTGTTCATACACACACACACACACACACACACACACAGACACAC